CCCTGGGTTACACCCTGGGGTACACCCCATTTATTTGCCCTTCACACAGACAAAAAACATGAAAACACAGACACTTTCAATTAAACTGTTAGTGTGAGTTTGCGGATCTGCCAGGCTAGTTGCACGCAAACCAATGTCGGTGTGCACAGACACTAGTTCTCTGTGTAGACAAAAAAGTATCGGTGCGAACAAAATTGGTTTGCAAGTTCTGAGGGTTGGGAAACCAGTGTCGGTGTACACAGACATTAGTTGTCGGTGTAGAAAAAAGTTTTTGTACATATGCAATTTTTGTCGGTGTACACACACATTAGTTGTCTGTGTAGAAACAAAAGTGTCTGTGCATATACAATTTTCGTCGGTGTACACAGACACTGAAAGCAAATCAGTGTCGGTGTGCATAATAAAACGTAAAAAGAGAGAAGGAAAGAAAACCGACGAAAATTGTATATGTACAGACACTTTTTTCTACACAGACAACTAATGTCTGTGTACACCGACACTAGTTTCCCACCCCCTGAACATGCAAACCAACTTTGTTCGCACCGACACTTTTTTGTCTACACAGACAACTAGTGTCTGTGCATACCGACATTGGTTTGCGTGCAACCAGCCTGACAGTTCTGCAAACTCACACCGACAGTTTAATCGAAAGTGTCTGTATTTTTACGTTTTTTGTCTGTGTGAAGGGCAAATAAATGGGGTGGACCCCGGGGTGTAACCCAAGGTGTGCCTTAAGAATTTTCCTATATGCAAATGTTTCTTAGAGCGTTTTGGTGAAAGTGCAGAAGCAGAAGTTGGAGTGTTTTGGTGAAAGTGCAGAATTGATCCTGCTGTTCTAATTTACACTTAGAATCAATTTTTTTAGAAGTTGGGGGAGACGAGCTTCTGAAAATTGATTTTGATTCTGTTTCTTCTTTAAAAAAGAATCAGAAACAGAATCAGTTCCAAACACCTCCATAAGTGAGGGTCAAAAAACAACAGTTTGTTTGGACGACATTTTGAGAGGCCTAGTTAGCTTTTTCCGTTTAAAACGCGTTTAAAACACGTACCATTTTTTGAACAAAAAAACGCGTTTAAAACGAAAAATAATGTCGGTCCGTTTAAAAAGGAAAAAAACTTCTACTTCCCATATAAAACGTATATTTCTCGTATTTTACAAAAAATAGAAACATGATTTAATCAATTGAATGAATACATCAAACGAATAGAAGATCAACAATAGCTTAAAAGCAAAAAAGAAAACACCATCCCCATGACCCCGTGTTTTTGTATTGTTACATTACAAAATATACAATTGTTAAATACTAAAATTAATTGCATGATGACTAAAGCTAGCAACTTAAAGACTAAAACCTAAAATACTACTACATTTTTTTGCTTATGTTCTTTTCCAAACAAGCATATCAAAATTAAGATTTTTCTAAACCTGACATTTTTACTGTAAACTTCTACACATAAACAATAATAAGCGTAACAGTCGCACAACTTTCTCATATGTCATCCGTCATCTAGGCTAAAATGATGAGCATAACTTGAGTGTTATATGATGACCATATAAAGATGATGATGATGTTAACTTGGTCTCATTGTATCATTATTACTTATTATGCCTTATTTTTTTACATTACTTTGCAAAATTATGTCTTAGACTTGATTACTGTTTTTACTTCTGTCATCGATTCATACAATTACAAATTATTATTTTTATGTAGTAATGTGATTTGCTACTTCAATATGTGTACACTCTTATTTCTTTTTATTATATGTTATTTTATGAAGTATATAATTTAAATGTTATTTTGGGCTTAATTACTATTCCTTTTTTGTGAATGCATTTTTTATGGAGTAATGAGATATTCTATTTGAATGTGTGTGTATTTTGATTATCCTTTATGTACTATATGTTTTTTATTCTCTTAAAACTACTAAAATAATTTAAGCATTCATAATAAGACCCGTATTTTTAATTCGAATTTTTCTAAGAGATGTCGTATTATACACGTATACGTATTTACACGCTTTTTAAAAGTCAACGTATTTTTGCCAAATATTTAACCGTATTTTTTGTTTGAATTACCGAATAAAACACGTACGTATTAAACCACGTTTAATTCATGTACCGTATTTAACTAACTATGTTGAGAGGATTAATGAAAGTTATTATGGGAATCTAATGGCCTCCAAAATTTTGTCTTATCAAAATTTTCGATATACAAAATTTATATATTGCCGTCTTACCAAAATTTAGGTGTCATGTATTTTGATATACTGAAATTTTGTTTTATCGTATTTTGGTATACCGAAGTCTCGGTTCAGTAACGTACGATATCGATAAATTACCATACATGTCAGCATGTGTCTCAATACTACAAATTATCATAAATTAACGAAATATACAAAATCAGTGTTCACTATAAACATGTTACAAAATAAAAATAATAATATATTGTTGTCATTGAACAATAATTATTATTACGTATTATATTTAAGCAGTTCAACATGTCATATATTAAAAAATAACATATTCTCCTAAAATAACTTAAACAATGGATATGTGGTTTCGTGCTTGCTACTCCATCAAGTTTTCTTGTTTAATTTTGTTGTTCTGAGTCTCAAAAAAACCAGTGGATGCCTTCTTAAAACTTTGTGAAGGAAAATATGGAGGAAAAACTTTAGTCGATGAAAAAAGTGATATCTCACGTTGTAAAGTGAGGATTGAGGACTACAGTGATGACACATAACCTTTGGAGTATCTCCAATGTGGATTTGTTTAATGAACTTGTTCTCCAACATTAGTGCACATGATTAATTTGATACCTCCATTCCTATACTCGGGGGAATATAATTATTAGCTTACCCTCATAACTGGTCTTTAAGTTAAAAATGTTTTGTATGAGTAACATTAAATGAGTGACAGAGTGAAATGTTATTTTGTAACGATGTTTATCATTCACAATCAAATCACATGCTACCATATATTATCATATCAAACATCGGTAATCAAGACTCATATTTTTCGAATAAAAGACTACAACCTTATTAATTCTTAGTTACTTAATGTCCAAACACAACGGATAAGTTTTGGGCATGTTTGTCGATAAGGTAATACGACAACCCATTCACCAACTAATATGCCGCTGGCCAAATGGACAGTAATAAAGGATGAAATTTTATTAGCTTTTAAACAAGATGTGTTTAATATTCCATCTCCTATATATTCTTGCTATTAATTGTTTTGATTGTGTTTTCATGTTTTTTAAAAATGGGTCAGGTTCCCCCCCGATTCGGTGTGCTTGTTTTCTCATTCTATTTTAAAGAAGGGATGTCATCTTTGAAGATGTATTGGTCTAGTCCCCCTCTTCATATTTGTAATTATTATTTTTATTATTGATAAAATATGGCAAATGTTCCCCGACATTTGCCCCACCGATAGGTTGTTTGCCTACCAGGTTAAAAAAGAAATGTCCAAACACAACTCGTACTCCATTGTTATTATTATTATTATTATTATTATTATTATTATTATTATTATTATTATTATTATTATTATTATTATTATCTCTAAGACATTTGCAACAACAAAAATCATGCATTGTGGAGAGTATTATAACAGAGGCATGATATGCTTCCTTTTTAAAAAAAAGAACGGTATATACTAACTTTTTACCTCTTTTTTTGTTTCAACAATTCAATTTTCACATTAATATATTAGTGTATTCAATCATATGTCTATTTTAAAAAGTTAATTTTTGCCGGCATGCGTTGTTTAAACATGTCAATGTAATTGGTTAAAAATAGGCTAAAGGGTCAAATAGGTCTCTGTACCGGTCGTATAAACTCATTTCGATCACTGAACTAAAAAATAGGTCCAACTCACACCCCGAACCGGCAAAAAAAAAGATTCAAATTTCATTTTTTAAGGTTAAAGAACCGGTAAAAAAGGTCCAATTCGCACCCTTAAACTTTTAAAAAGTGTCAAAATTGCAATAAATCGAAAATAAAAAACAGAAACAATAAAAAAAAATGAAAAAGTTACCGGTTGTTTACCCGTAAATAATAAAATTTGAACCATTTAATTTTTTGTCGGTTTGGGGTGTGATTTGAATCTTTTTTGAGTTCAGGGACTGAAATGAGCTTGCATGACCGGTACATGGTCTATTTGACCCTTAGCCTTAAAAATATAATTGGTTTTAGCTTTAATATAATAAAAACATGGTCAATGTATCATATTTCATCTATAAAAGTCGTTAGAATGTTATAGTTTCGAAGAACAAAAATCTTGTATGGGTGGGTGCTTTATAGATTAATGTACCAAAACATTAAACTTATTGTCAATTATTTGTACCGCTAGATCAAAGTTATTTTGTTTATATTTACTTTATGTATGAAAATGGAATATAGTCCATGTGCTAGTTCTTTTTTAGGGAAAAGATAATGATGATGATTATTATGAACACAAGACTTTAAAATAGATACATATGGAGGTTTGATCTGCGAGATATTGGTCAATACCCACACAATTACGAGTCCACAACTTAGTTATATCAATCCAATTATCATTTAAAATAACATGATCTCACAATGGTTAACGCAAAATACTTAATCATTTCACAATTGAGTTAAGCTATCTATGACTCGAATTAAATAAATTAAAATGATAAAAACACAATTAAGTTATGTGTTTATAAGATCTTTTATTGAACTAACTAATTGATTGAATATAATCTTTTTGTGTGCTTATGGATTTATGGGTAAGATACTTTATGATTTAATTGAATGGCCTCAACCCAACTATGAATTTTATATCATGACATAGATTGCAGAACAAGTTTTGGTACATGTTATTGATATGTCTCGAAGCACACACTTAATTTTAGTGTGATATGGTGACCCGCATTCTTAACTATGGGTTATATCTAAATACCTATAAATACACGCACGCATATATTGACACTCACTTGTGAATTATCTATTAAATTCATTTGACTAGACACTAATAATACATTGAGCCTTCATTTATAATGTGAAAAGTGTGAACAAAGGCCACATATTTCTTATGATTATCATGAGAAAAGGTCATCCAAAAATGAGAAGAAAAACAAATGAGGGACAAATATGCAGTCATTCAGTTTTCCAAGCATAAAAAACATGGCAGAATTCAGATATCGTGGTTTGTGAATCGTCACAATCTTTTTTATCACACACTATTTGACCATTTGAGTGACTATTGGCTTCTTCTACTTCATTCTGGTCAGCAGTATTACCTTGTTTAAAGATGAAAATACCTGGTCCAGCTGCACTAATGGTGTCATCGCTGAACACCCAATCATGAACATCCCAGAAAACATCTACAGGCACATCATCAACCATCACTATCTCATTCCCCCGAAATCTCCAGTTCAAATTCACCACACGAATTGAATCCATCCCATCCACAGTAATCCACATTTCGGGATCACCCCCCGAGAGGTTTGTCTCTATGATAATGTTATGCTCCCTTTTCCCCTTCCCCAACATTGTTCTAGTGCAAAAGCATCTCTTTGCATACACGCTCTCCTTCTTGTGCACCAAAGTTGCGTCAACTAAAGAAGGCCTTGATTTGCTTCTTTTGAAGGCTTCATTCTTTTGGTCACCTAACAATATCACCACCTCTCCTCGAGAGGACAATGCGACATAGTAATCAGAGACAGGTTCAGGACTGCTTGAGAACTTAGCGGCCCTTAAGTCCCAATAAACATCGACACGTACTTCATCTACCTTGAAGGACTTTAGTCCCTTTTTGCCCCAAAATTGCCACGTTTTTAGGTCAATCTTGCATGTGTAGTGGTTGTCTTCAGAAGGGTTTTCGACAATGATGAATAGTGTATGATTGATCAATGTTTTTGACCATGTGACCGTAATGGTACGGAACAAGTCTGCAATTTTGGCTAGGTGTATACATGTCACAAAGCTTTGTGCGGCTGGTTTAATTGTCCCACTCTCCTCCTTCTCTTCTGCTTCTACCTTTTGATCTCGTTGATTCATGGACGCCGCCAAATATGCCCATGGAAATTTGAGCATTGTCATATAATTTCCAACATAATCTCACATGCATCTTTCTCTCTTATTCAAATGTTCAAGCCTATCAGCTCTTTGATGTCCTGTCTAAACGAAGATATGCACACACATACAACGAGGTGACATTATTGAAATAGCAAAACATTCTATATAAATTCAAAACTTTTTGTCATAAACTTAATGAATTTTAATAGAAATGAAATGATCAATAATCAATGCCATTAAAACTCAATAGGAGGCAACCAAGTGGCCATCGCTCATCTGATTCATAGGAACCCATCTAAATGATCTGGTCACCTAGGACTATTTTTAGGACACGGCTATAACATATACCGGTTATTATCCTCCTCATACATTCCGCATTGCAGATTCAATCTTCATCACATATTGTTCTAATTACCTTATCTAAGATGTGGCCTTCAAAAACATAAACAGGAGAATGCAGCATTGCACATCAGGGTCTTGATCATGAATTCTAGCGCACTTTAATGATTTTGATGATCGATTGCATCTTGAATAAATTTACAAAACATGTATATATCAAAGAGATGAACAATGTATGTATATCATATCACTTTTCGCGTTAGGGTTCTTTTCGAGGTGATGAGCAGGCTAGAATAAACTCTTGAACAATTTACTTGTATATTATTCAAGGAAAAATAGGGATTTTTCATTGTTTTTACCTTCAACAACTTTGTGATAATTGAATGTTTGTCCTGCACTCACGCGTCTTTTATTTTACTACTAACTCTCAAAAATCTAATTGAAATAATAATATATATAGAGTATATATTATATAGCGGGTTCCCCCCTAAATTTGATTAGATTATTGGAGCTCATACTAAAAACAGAATACTTTTACTTTATACACATGGATAAAAAATGACTAACCAGGTAATAAACTTGAAAGAATATGATGTGACTTTTAGATTTTTATGTCACTAATAGATGTCATTATCGATGTCACAGAGTTCACTATCATTGTAAATTAAAACATGTCACTTTGACCGCCATATAATTTTACGGTGAATTTTCCCGATGAATTTAAAAAAAAAACTGAAAAGCAAAAAAAGTAAAAAACTTTGATGGTTTATTGGTAGGAGTTTCTGACGGCAGTTGGGCAGGTGTGGGTTGAGGCAGAGATTGATTATACATGACACTTTGAAAAAATGAATTAATTATACAAAATGTTAATCATATATTTAGAAGAAGAAAAACTAATCGCTTTTATTTATAAAAGGCTATATGTAATATTTGTGTCATTTTTCATTCAAAATTTACTAAAGGTACATATTATACAAGACAATTCATTTACTTTATGTAAGTCCGTCTATCTAAATTTTATTTTATTCACAATCTCATTAAATCTGATTCATTCTGGTTTCTAATCCAAATTCTATCAAAAATTATTTTAGAGGTAAAATTTTATATACGTCAATCTATTTCTACATATATAAGTCGATCGATTTAACACTTGTATTCACAACGTAATCATCTGGACTCGCTCATAATTTCAATTAACCCAATCCTTCTTTATTGTGTGTTAACACCAATTGGTCTCAAATTAATCAGAATAATCCCGAGTTCTAAACAATGGACCATAAATTATTGAGAGAAGTAAATCTGAGTCGTTCAATCAATATATTGAGTTCCTAACGCCATATGCCCGTAAATACACCATGATGCACAAGAAATTGCTCTTATTGTGTGTATGCTATAACTCAATTTCTCAACACAATTCCGACGAAAATCCTACTCATTAACCCCATCAGATTCCCAACAAAACTAAGAGGGCGTTTTACAGTGCATAACAAAGTGTTTTTCAACTTTTAATTTAAAAAAGAAAAGAAAAGGTATTTTTGAACAACTACTTCTACGTCAATTAATTAAGATGTTTAAATATCAAAAGGAAGTTACGTTCAAAAATATCAAAAGGAAGTTTTTAAGTGTTTTTTACTTTTTCTGTTACACGAAAATGACATATAGGACTAAATACTTCTTTTACCAAATATTCCAACTTTTAATCTTAGAAAATAACTTGTTTTCTCAAAAAAAAAAATGAACCACTTCTCAAAGATAAAAACAAACACAATCTCTAAATTTGCATTCAGCCCAAGTTCCACTTGAACCATTCTTGCTTGTCAATTCCAATTAGGGGTGGGTGTGGTCCGGTCCGGTACAATATTTTGTGGAACCCGTACTGTAACTATTGAAACAGTTCGGTTTGGTTCGGTTCGATCTTAGACCTAAACCCGTTCGGTACGGTTCCATTTTCAAATGGGACGGTATCATGTCATACTAATATCAAACAATGTCATTTTTTTCGGAAAATTAAAGTTTACCTACCTCCAAAAATACACACAATTTATCAATTTTCATATTACATAATTAATAAATTTTAGATAAAGTAAACTATATTAGTACAAAACATAAATTTGAGATTAACTCTAGTAGACTACAACTACAAACTATATGGGTTGAACATCATTTTTTGTTAAATCTATACCTAAAATAAATAAATAAAATAAGAAAATTCGGATCGAGCTTCACCCCAGGAAGATCCGCCCTTGGCAGCGAGCATCGATCCAATCTTCCCGCAAACTAGCAAGGGTCGTGAAAGTGCAAAGCCAGTAATCAAAGTAATGCTATACATGTACATATGATTATTAGTTATATACTTCGTATATAAATCATACATCGGCCCGGTTCGATTTGGTACCGGTTCTCATTTTATGAGAACCGATCATGGCATGGTTTGGAACCGGTACGGCTCGGTTCGGGACAAAAATTTTGAAAACCATTTCAAATCCCGTTTTTCGGTCCGGTACCATACCTATCAGGTTCGGTACCATGCCGGTTCGGTAATTTTGCCCACCCCTAATTCCAACCAAGTTCCATCACCACCGAGTGTGACTGTAGTTGGGATTTGGAAACTACACTGTTATATACGTTAATTGACATACACAGAACATACTCCAGCTGCACAACCCAGAAAAGGAAATGGAGAATAGTATGACTCCAAATACACAATCTAATTGTGGATTACTATTATTTCATATACTTCCTGCCGACATTAAAGGTCAACTAATTTGATAAGCTGATATAAAGTTTTTCTCTCAAAATCTAGTCAATCAAGTCATGTCTTAATTAAGACATACTCTCTCTGGTTTCAAATAAACTTCACACTTTGGCTTTATGGTGTTAAGAAAAATGGAACTTTTGTTTTTGGCTTTCTCATCATACCCCTCAAAAACTAAAGTAGATTAGATGTAGTGGAGAGAGTGAGAGTAAATTAGGTAATAAAGTAATGGTATAAGGGTAACTTTATATTAAAAACTTACCACAAGTAGAAGCGTGAACTTTATTTTAGATCAACTTAAAAAGGAAAATGTGAAGTTTATTTGGGACCAAAGATAGCATGTCTGAGTGACTAAGTTAAGATGTCTGTGTAAATTAAGTCATATTTGTATATGAGGTTGTTTATTCTATATCCTGAATAAACAGTCTGAGTCAAATAAAATTATCAATTTAGTATTATTCTTAGATAATAATATAAAAGAAAAACAACATTTATTAATGTAAATCTATACTGCAATCAATTTGAAAAAAATGATAGCAAAAGCATCTTGGTAAAGTCTTAATGGGAAGGATTGTTACTCTCAAGCTTAATGATTAGACAGATTTTTCACTGAATGATTAAGTCATGCTTCTAGTTAAGTCGCAAGTAAACATGATTTAATGGTTGAATGATTAAGTCGTCATTGCCATTAAGTTCACGAAGTCGAAAATAAACAGCTCATGACTCTAAAGTCAATGTACCCAATAGACTGATAAAGTGATCTTCATGCGCGGGCACAAGTTTGTGTTACGTCCAATTAAGGATGAACCCGATCATCATTCTCAACACTGTTTGGGACCGTCTCGAAACCCGAAATCGATTTTCTGGTCCCGATCTAGGACCGCCCCCCCACCTCAATTTTCGTTATCCGGCCCCGAGTGCATTTTTTGGGACCGAGACTTGTCGCTCCCCATCGATCATTTTTTTTTTTTTCATTTTGGCCTTGGAGGCTATTTTTGACCATTTGAAAAGCCTCCAAGGGCTAGTTGAGGGCTTGGGAGAGTTGGGGTTGGGGGTGGGGGACCCAAAAAACTATAAATACCAACTCATTTAAAAATAATCATACACCTGCATTCTACAACCAAGATTCTAATCTCTCGTTCCCTCTATTCTTATTATTCTCTCCACTCAAACAGTCATACATTCTTCATCTTTACATTTATATTTAATATATTAAATATAATTGTTTATTACATTAGAACAAAATTGAGCTCGCATTCTCTTGAAACGCTTGTGTGTTTCCACCAATAGACTCAAACTAAACATCGCATCGACCCACCATTTCATGGAGGAAACAATAACCAATCAAGGAAGTGACTTCGAAGCTCCTAAGAGTAAATAATTTCTAAATATTTTGTATTGTTCTTTACATAGATTTTTTAGCAATTACTTGTTTACATAAATAATTATATGTATTACATACACTTCTGTTTTTTAATGTATATACACCTTTGTTTATATTAAAATTTAAAACTAACTACTGGGCAATTTGAAAAAAAAATGCCCGAAACCGGGACCAGACCGGCGGGTCTACCCAATGTCTGTCCCAACACGGTTCGGGACTCGGTTATAGCAGGTTGGCCCCGAATCTCCCAATTTGTTGGCTGATCATCCTGTCTCGGCCCAGAACCAGGACCGGGGCGGGTCCATGCTAACGTCCAATTGATCCAAATATCCATGGTATAAGTATTCCGATATTTCTGAAAATTCAATCATAATTTCGTAATTTGTCTCTGAAAACATTTTGTATTAGAAAATACATCTAATATACTGGCAATATCTCATTTAACTTATAAATTATTTAAAAAAAAATACAAAGTGTAGTTCTTCTTCCAAAGATTTCCAACATCGAAATGTCCACCAATAATTTTATCCTTGCTGGAGTCATCCATCATGTCATTTTAGTAGTTGGTGAATCAGGAACACTTGAATCTTTCATGCTATTCTCACCATATCAACTAGGAGGTTGCCATGTTCCTGGTCTGAAGGATTCTCCGGATCCAGATGGCTCTGAAGACCTGCAAACAAGGTGAGAAGTTAATGCTCAAGAATCAAGATGTTTATGCACTTACAGGATAAGCTCAAGCTAGGAATTGCATGCAAGTCATGATGATTCGTGATAAATGAACTCACTCAGGTTGTTCTTTTATGTTATGTGGACTTTCCTCCACGTTTGCTTTTTGTCTGCAATCATATATACAAACTGGTTCTAAAAGCAGACACTGATCTACACATACATTATAATAGTAGTTTGTCAGTTAATAATTAATCATACGGAGTATATACGAAGTTTCCAATTTTAGTTTTCTAGGGATTCATTTATTTTTGTTGGCCGAAACACAGGCAAGACAGTACGTGAAGTGAAGTATATTACCTGATTAGCCATCTATAGAGGCAAAAACATATAAACATGCCCATTGTGATGTTCACAAAAATTCATGTCCCATTCCCAAAACGGCAAAACCCGCAACGTGAACAAAATGGAAGAGTGAATTATGGTGGTGCCCATGGAGTTCGGACAAACCTACATTTGTGCCCCTCAGGTTTGATAAGCATTCTTAAATGCTCTTGCTATTAGTATCCGTTAAGAATGAATTACGCTCATGCTCTGAGGGTAGGAGCACTTGAGGATGTCTGTCGAACCTTAAGAGCAGAACTGCAGGTTTATCAAAATCTGAGGGGTGCCATAATAATACACACAAGGAAGAACTTTTTATCAATTTTCATCGGTGATTACTAGAATTAGCAAGAATTTTGAAGGCAAAAGAAGTTATTTCCAGAAGTTGAAGCCAACCTGCTTTCGTCTTGTGCATTAGAGGGTTCTGCAGCTGTATAACCTTATCAAAGAAAGAAAAAGAAGAAACTAAAGTTAATAACCAAGCAACAATGGCCTTTTAAGCACTATCACCGACTATGAAAAAACTGACAATATATGATATATTTTATGCTAATCTAGAAGAGAATGGCAGTTGAAAGTATAACATGATTCCCAACTAAAGCTGTCCTGGTCCTCTTCATGTATTGATTTTCATGAAATTCATAGGCACGTTTATTAGGGTACTCTTATACAAGAGCATAATACCTTTAGAGGCATCGGTAAATTGCCCGACAAAATGTTTCAGGTCTGGACCAGCAAGTTTACCTGAGTACATATAATCAGTAATAAGCAAAGGCTGTTTGGCCATATATTCAAAGAAAAAGTAATTTGTTTCACATTCTAAACCAATACAAAGAACCAGTACTGAAATTGATGCTTACCCACACTTGATTTCTTGATCTTCCCTTCCCTGGCTAGTCGTTCCTCTTCCTCCTTCATACCTTGGTGCAATATAAAATTAATATATAATAGTATATATAAAGAAAACTGCACATAACGAGAACCCAGAACCCTTCTACAATTTGACATATTCTTGTTAACTCTTAATGTGTAAGAGTGAATGCGCTACCGGGTATTGAGAACTGACACGTACAATTAATTAATTAATTAATCATACTCACGAGCAACATTAAGTTTAAGACGCTCCCTTCTAGCATCTAGTTCGGCCATCTCCTGAAAAACACAAAAACAGCTCTCTAGTTAAATTAGGGTTCTCTTACTCAGGTGGTCATTCAAATGGCTATGCCCCAATCTAATAGACCTTAACTTATCCTAACGTTTGTTATTTCATTACTCGCTTTAGAGATGTTGACAGCAGGCTACAAGCTTATAATTATACGTTTAAAGTATTGATAACGGTAATAATATTCGTTGAGAATTTTGAGGGAGGTATTCAGAATTAACCTCAGACGTTGGTGCACTTTTCCGTTGTCCATTCAACCAGCATATCCATTCAACTGCACATATTTAAGAAAAACCCATTAAGTGAGGAATGTCCCCAATAGAGTCACCTGATAGTCCTGTTGAATAAAAAGAAGAAATAGTAATTTAGTTTTAGCAGTAATATTGTAGTTCCCTATTCTTATAGAGTTTAAGGTCTATGGAAAGTTTTGGTTTCCTATATCTACATGATTTAGGTCCAATATTTATCTACATAAGCATCGTAATAGTCTCTAGAACTTCTGAAGTTGAGCTCAAAGTCATATTAATACAAGCAATATTCCCTTTGATCCAATTTAAGGTTTCTGGACACTAGTCTTGTGGTCAACTTCACTATATTTTAAATATGTAATGTTTATATAATAATTATTTATCACATACTAATTCAGTTTTTGTGCTTCAATAAACTTTTAGTGTAGTGTCTAGATATGTAAATTTTAATACTAATCACAATACAAATTTTATAGACAGGAATTAATTTTCTCATTAATCAATCACCGTAAACTGAACCGAGATCCTTAAATGGGTAGGACGGGGAAGTTTATCATTCAACAAGTTCATTCGATAGAGGGACGCACGAGGGGCTTACATTCTTCAGTATTAGCTGAACAACTCAAATAAAACTTCATCGAGTATGCCAGCTTGACAAAAAATCTATTATACCAAAGTTGTTCTTTATATTTGATAATTTGATCAATAACCATGCGAAAAAAGTATTCTTCAATACTACTTCATTGGGGATAAGAGGACAAATTACTAATATTGCACCTCAGTGCTACTAAATGAAAATTTAACAAGTGCTGTACCCAAAATTGCTAATACAGTTTGGCCATTGACAAGCATAAACAGTAATAACCTAGAAAGTAACAAACAAAATAGAGAAAACAAATGGAAGCAGAATCAAACTGGTGTCATGTGAGTATACCTGGGATGGAGGTTGGATCATGCTCTCCTTTAAATACCACCCACCTTTTCTCTTTCACTGAAATACATCAACAACATAAAACAATGAGAATACTTTCGAGCATCTACAAACTGTGCGAAGAACAACAAATATAGCTCTTGCAGTGACATGTTTTTGGGCAATTAATCATCCTCAAAAGTCAAAACCATTCTTTGAGGAAGGTCATATAACTCTATGTCTTGATTCAGGTGCAGGTGTGCAGTCTTTAAGGTCAGAGTATGCAACAGGAATCAGGAGATGAACTCAACTGTTAAAGGTGATGAAAATATCAACAAGAGTTTGACTCAATTGCTGAAGAAACCAAGTGGAACTTGAGAGTTGTATTGAATAATGAATGAATTTACAATTGAACGTCATTCTCTTTACTTATACTAGTTCTAGCCAGGTAATGCCAGCTAACTAATGACAGCTAATCAATTATAACAACTTGTAACTAACTCCACAACAAACTAACTAATAGCAACAATTACAGAATAGAGGACCAATATCTTCTCTACTGGTGCTACTTTATGATCAAAACTAAATAGCTGTTAAGGTGAAACGCCTGGAGAGGCTGCTACTAATGCTTGAAGTAGCCACACTCGTCTCACAGCGTACACATTGTTAAATTTACATATCAACAAATGGCACGTGAATAAAACTGGAGTGTGAGTGTGTGTGTGTGTGTGTAGAAACTTGGTTTTATCCTAAAATACAACCTTATAAGAGTGTAGCTATGGACTTTGAGTTTGTATTTTTATATTTGATGAAAATGAGATGTAAAAACATATCCAACAAGATTGTGGCTTGTTGAAGTGGACCAATCTTGTTATTTATCATAGTTTTTAGAATATACACATTAGGGCTGTGACAATTGAATCTTGCAAAATTGCAAAATTTTCAGCTTTCAGTAAACACATTATTCAATCATTGAAGTTTTAGGGTATAACAAACATTAGATGCATTAAGCAGTAAAATAAAAAAAGCTTGGGCATTAACATTTCAGAGTAATCAGAAGATAAATATTGCAAGAGAGAAAAGAGACCCACTTACTAAAACCATCAATCTCCTCCTTTCTGGTAAAGTATCGATTCCCAGTTTTATCTACCCCTACCAAACTCCTGTTGCTCAGCATCCCCGCAAACTTTGCCCATATCCTTGACATGCTCTACCCTCGGCCTCTATGAAAATCAGTGACTAGTAAGATTTTCTTATGAAACGATGAAAATACGGATTGAAGAACAAGGAGCAGCAGAAGGTTCTTGAAATCATTAAAATGGTTGGACTTCGGAGGCTGTGTTTCACAAAGTGTGCGTGTGAAAGGAGAACATGTAGAGGAGTTTTGGAACTCCAAGCCAATGAGCCACTGTGAAAAAAGGTCGAACTAATGCAGTAGCCACCCAGGGTGAAATGTTTTGATAAAATTTGTTTTGTAAGACAGCTCAGTACATTTCAGAAAATTATTTGACTGTCTCCCGGTTGAATTTTTATCTGAAATTTGGTATGAGTGAACTAGACTTAATGAAGAAGATGCTAAAAAAAAATCATCAAAAAATTCCATCGGGAACCGCCCCTATATAAGGGATGAATTGCATTTTTTAAGTTAGTTCGAGGGCCTATTTGATCCTTTAGTCTAAAAACTATTAGTGGCAATGTCTTATAAAAAATTATTGGAGGGCCAAAGTTTCATATCTGCCCCCTAATAATCTCCTATTTTGACATTGACACACTATTATATGGAGTAAAAATGAAAACCATTGGGCCAAAAGATGTAAATGGAAGAAAAAGTAATTCTTCCCCATTTCAAAACATTTGACCTAAATTGATTTGCATGTAAAATAAAAGTGTAAAAAGTGTACAATTGTGTTTGTGCAGATGAGAGAAATAATTTTAAGCACATGTGCTATTATGACTTTAAATGAAAATGACAAAATATATAGGATGACAAAATAAAGAAATATACACTTGGTTGTTGTTTGTTGGTCCATACAACAGGTGTTTGTGGGTTGTGTTACGGGTACCACGTGTCTGGGTAGTGGAGTGTGTGGCGAAACAAACAGTGGTGTCTGGACTCACCTTACATTGTTGTAAATTATCACAACTTCACCCTTTTAATCTCACCCATTTGAATGACTCCCCATGATAAGAAAGAAAATGGAGGAGGAGGAGGAGGAGGAGGAGGAGGAGGAGAAAGGCATGTGTAGGGAGTGGCAACGAAAGGGGGCGATGAGGCAAACGACCATTGCAACGTCACACGAAGGCGAGGTTGGTGGCTATGTTCCAGTCACACCGGTGACATGGTCGTCGGCGACGCGAAGGAGGCAGTCGACGAAGGTCCTTCGCAGTAGTGCACGTGTGGTCGATGGTGACATGAATGAGACGGTCGACGAGGATCCTTCGTAGCGGCACAAGCGTCAGGCGCGACCGACGAAATTCGCCCTTCCTAGTGGATGCAGCGATGTGGATGCTCAGCGGATGCAACGACACATGTGAGATTAGGGTTGGTGTTAATCCCTCTATCTCGCTAAGTTTGTCACACCTTTTCATTTTGGTATATCTCGCTAAGTTTGTATTTCGTCAAATTTGGTAAAATTTGTGGACTCTAAATCATTCATACTTTATTGAGAAAAGTGTTGAAAAGGCATGTGGTTGGACCCGTTTTCATATAGGGTAATGCGTTTCATTCTTTATCAAACGACTGCTATGTCATCTTTCGATTTTGTTTTCAGTCACCCTTGTCATCGGAAAGTCCACCGAAAAACAAAAACAGATCCGAAAAATCCAAAGACGAAGGTGGTTTGGAATTCATCTTGACGAAGTGCACCTTCCAATATTTTCCTTTTAATTTTTCGGGCACTTTTGAAAATCGGAGATATTGCTAATCGTCTTCCTCAGTCGTTTTTAACGGTGTGACCCTCTTGTGATAACAGAGTTCAAACACATGAACCACTTTGATAAAAAAAAAATGGAACACATGACCCTATCTGAAAACGCGCCCAACCACATATATTTTTTCCGGACTTTTCCTTACTTTATTCTCACTTTATCTATTCAATATCAGACACATAAAATCACTCCTCTTGGTAACAACAACACCTCTTAATCTCTTATTGTATTAATGTTAGAGGGACGTATGTACCAGTATTTGTACGGGTCATTTTGGTCCTTTCACTTTTATTTTGTATGTTTATGTCCAAACAAAATATGATCATTTTTTTTGTCAATTGAGAACTTTACAATATTACTTTTATTACTCCTCTTGGTAACAACACCTCTTATTGTATTAGTGTTATTCGAGTTGGTCATTCTAGCGCTTTGCACATATTAATTTCCTTATTTTATCAAGTAAATAATTTACATATAACTTTTAAAATTGAACAGATGCATTAGTAATTTTAGAGATGTTTAACAGATCAAATGATAATTCTCTTTCCTTGCGGTTGATAACACTCTTTAGGTGCCACGACGATGGAAGATCAATCATAGCTAGCAGTACCAGACCGCAGCAGAAAGAGAATTATCATTCGATCTGTTAAACGCCTCTAAAATTACGAATACATTAGTTCAATGTTAAGAAGGGAAAATCACATTTTTGGTCCTTCAATTATCACCATATTGAAATGTCAGCCCGTGTTTATTAGATTGTAAATGTCATCCCCGAATTGACAGATGTGTTGTAAATGTCATCCTTGATTAATTTATTGATAGTCCAAAATTGAGGATGAATTATATACAACGGAGATGTCATTTACAACACATCTGTCAATTTGGGGGTGTCATTTACAATCTCACAAACACAGATCTGACAGTTTAATTTGGTGCAGGTGAGGGATCAAAAGTGTGATTTTCCCTTTTAAAAATTATATATAAATTATTTATTTGTTGAACGGGGTGCAAGGGCGAGAAATTTATCTTATTAGTTATTGTTATTTTGTTGTTTAGTTCATGTTAAAGTCCATGTTGCTAGATTTATCGGGATGTTTTTAAAATTCAGCTTATTTTTATGTCATTAGATGCATACGGATCTATAGGATCAGTGATAATTGTGTCAAGCTCGCTTTGTGGTTAACGATTTGTGTTGCTCTTTTTGGAGTGACCGTTTCTATGTCTAATCGTAGAGTTTATGGCCATAGTTGGTGGATGTTAGCTGATATCAAGTACTGAGTATGATTTTTTTTAATTGATGTAAAGATCGAAGAAAAATATCGGATGATAACTGATATCAGGACTTTTCCGTCATTTTGTCGTGCGACTTTGCTTTGAGTCTTCTTCATCGACAACAAGGTCTCTTGTTGGCCGGTTAATCAAATCAACTCCACATAAGTCAAGCCTCTTATATTAGATAAGAGTCGGGTGTGGCAGAAAACCATAGAAGGCAACCCCATCTTTTTCCCAATCGGCGATCGTAAAATAATGATTGGTACTTCGATAAACGTCATTAACATCTTCCTTGGAGGGTAAAGTAACGGGTTATTATGCTTCTATTTTTATTTAATTTCTACTTTCGAGGGTTATGGTTTTGATCTGACTTTTCTTTGGTTGAAAATTTTATCCGACTCATGTGAGCGTGAGATATGTTATCCTAGCAATGTCTAGATGTTGTGTATTCCTCGTTGGGGTAACCGATCGGGGTGGTGATTTTCATGATTCATGGTCGGCAAGGCTTATTGAACCAATTTTTCTGAGGCCTCAATTATTCGCTCTCCTCCTGAACCACCATCTTACTCTGGTAGAAAGATAACACTCTACTCGACCTCCTTTTTGGTGGGTGATCAAATTGGTGATTCAAGCGATTTCTGCTCGGTAGAGGTTCCTTTGTTGGTTGCTGGTCAAACCAATTCTTTCTTTATAATGGTCGGTGAAGCCAAATCTTTTATTTGTAATTGTTTACTCTTTATTTGGATCAGCAAATGCAGCAAAGCTGTCAGACTAGACTACATTATTACGGGGTCAGCGATTTGGAATAATTTGTATAATCTTTTTCAAATATATCAAAACTATATTAAAAATTCATAACTCTTATGACCTTTCACACGACGTCTGATGGTACCATGGATCCCAATCATGGCCCAAGACTGAATTAAAGCAAAGCTCATCGACATGATCAACCCATTAACTGAGATTAATAATAAATAATAGCCGTTGGGCCTAATTAGAAATCCAACCGCGAGAGGAACCCAGAACCAGGTCGGTCTGGACAGCAGACCTTGAGCCTGGGCAGAGTTCTAACGAGGTCAAACTCTTCCTAGAGCTCATGTGGCTGGCTATCATCTGTGCATAGCTATATGGCAGCGACAAGAAATGACGGAAGGAACGTGGACTTGAAGGAAACAATGATTGCACAACGTTCGAGACGTTACAACATTCTATTTCAATTAATTGCATTAAATGTATCAGTTTCATCCTAGAATACTAGAACCTAAGGTCTATGAATACTTCTTGTACACATCTTACCAAGGGTCTGAATTCCGAAATAATACTATTGTCTTATGCCGCCTAAATTTCATCTGCTCTCATAGATTAGCTCTCGTAGTTGAATTAGCTCCATCAACTTCAATATTGCATATATTATTATTTTTTAAATGAAGTTTCGTCTGCTAAAGAATTTTAGACCAAAAGATTTTCTTAATTAGATCCGAGTGTTAAATTAAATTCTCATGATTTGTTTTTACATCTTTCATTTATGTTTCCAAAATAAGTTTGAGGTAGCAACAATAAAATTAAACTCCAAGTCTCTTTATTTTTACATCGAAACATTTGAGCTTTTAAAAAAAGGCAAAATATAATGCATAATAATAAAAAGAAGGTTTTGATTGCACAATTTTTTAGTGGGTGAATATATTTATGGTGTTGGATTGCAGGATAAAACTGAACTAATTGAAAGAATACGTATAAATTAGTGGAAACTCTTATTTATTGACGAGAGGGCTGAAATTAGCCTTAATATACTCTTGATTGGTTGTATTATGTTTCATTCCGATCTTTTGCCATTGGTTGGCAACTTACCGACGATATATGGGTAGTTTTAAACCGAGTTTGATGGATTTTCGCTTTTATTGTTAAAATCATGCCAATGAGGATGAGAGACCCTATTTAATTCCTATTTGCAATCATTTCTTGAGAAAATAAGCAAGATGCATGTTATTTTAGTGGATCGGTCCATTGTCTTTTTAGCCTATTTGAAGATGTATATAATGGGGATTAGGCCTAAATATCCCATCTCATAGGTAATCATTAGTTGCGGACTTAGAAAGTGAATAACAGGAGTTGGGGGTCTTTACAAAATCTTTACACACAAGAATGATACATTTTTACATACTACGGTCCAATCAGTGTTCAACTTCTTCTATTGCTACGCTCTTATATTCACAACTAGTTGATTATACGCGCGTTGCGTGATTG